TTTGCGGAGACCAGTGCCTGTCATGCTGACTAATATTATCTTTGTTCCTTGTGATCTCCCATCTGTTGTCTCCTGTTTTTTACCTAGATAATAAAGTCTTTGGGGGCAGGGATCCAATATTAACTAGAATATTAAATGCTCTGGAACCTTTTACACTCTGAGCCTAGAGGCTTTAATTCTTTCCAGAATAAAAGACACGGCTGTGAAGGGGACGATGATCTAGTTCTAAATGTATAGATGGCGCCTCATCGTATGAAAGACTCGGCTTTTCAAAGGAACCTAAGGGAGTTAGGCACCCAAATCCCATTGGACGAATAGCTCCCATGTGTTTAGAGTGTTTAACTGTTTGAATAAAAGGTCCAGATTTTCAGCTGGCATACATAGGGGTAGCTGCTATATTGAATCCAGTGGATCTTTGAGCATTGGTTCCAGTTGTGGATCTGCTCTCACCGTGTAGGTCCTTCTTAAGGCCACAACAACCGAAGCCGTGTGAAATCAGAGGCGAGAGTCTCATTGGTTCCAAAGGGCTGTAGATCATTCCCATCACCCATTTCGGTTCTCTGAGGTGACAGCCCCTGTCCAATGAGTCTGAGATAATAATGGCCAGGGGAGTGAACGTTCCCCTTCTACCAGGGGAGAGTGGCTCTTATAACAGGAATCCCAGCTGAGCAGTGTTTATGGGGAATCCGATGGTCTCTGCACTGCAGGCCCCAGTGTGGCTACATGCTACAAGGGGTGACATTGTCAGGGAACTATAACAGTACCCCCATACCCCGACACACACACACACACACACACAAACTGAGCCAGCGTCCTGCCTGTGCCACAGGTTGTATGATTTGTGGAACTACTGCCCCCACGCGGCACACGGGAGAATCTGCAGCCTGGGTTTTTGAGTTAGCAGCAATAGGTCTCGTTCCACTGTGCCTTGTCTTGCACAGGAATAGCGGGCGGTGTCCTCGGGCTTCAGGCCGGTCATTTGCAGATACAACTTACTCTTGGAATTGTCCCTGGAGATGGTGAATCCCCTTTCACTGAGTCTGAGTAATAACTTTTGCTTCCGTCACTGTAAATGAGGGACACCCACAGTGCATCTGGTAGCTGCTGAAGGTGAACCGGGAGGGTTTGCAGGAGAGGCGGAGAGAGTCTCCGAGATTTTTCACATCCCCTCTGGACTCCACCAACTGCACCTGCGACCAGACACCTGCAAATAAAGATACACTTTGACATCATAAGAGCTTTAACAAACCTTCTGCCTCCGAAATGTGTTTACAGAGAGAAAATACCTTCCAAAGCTGCTGCAAGAAAAACTAAATGGAGCCAAAGTCCCATTTTCCCTGGTCTTTGAGGGGGAAAGTTCTTAGAGAGACGCACGGTAGCTGGACAGACACAAGGGGCTTTGGAATGTCTCTCCGGGTGCAGCCTGGGCAGAGAGAGAGAGGATTTACACAGGAAACTGACACCCATATTTGCATATCCCTCTCCTTTCTAAGAAGCATAAACTCCTTCCCTGGGTGAGTTTACTATCGGAGTCAAGAGAAGGAGCAAAACCAGTCACTAAAGAAATAAGGACTGGAAGAGATTTGAATCCCTGTAGGGTTTGGTAGGCGCTCAGCTTTAGTATTGCCCCAGCGGCGTTCAGAAAGCTTGCCTGGTGCTGGCTGTCTCTACATGTGTCATCCTGGTATCCCTTTTATCTACCCGTCTCCCACCATTGTGGTCAGAGTGGTTGGAATTCCTGCCAGGGTTGGTTCCTACGGACAGGGTCGAGCCCTGCTCTGACATTCCTCCTGCCTTTCCACCTCACCACATTATGAACAAGGCAAGAATTGATATTTGAAAGGTGGTTCCCGTTACCTATTTCCCAAGGGGGATAATAATAAAGAAAATAACAACCAAAAAAATCGAGAGACCGCTCCCTGCTCCCATCCTGAAATCCCCTTATATTTATGTTATGTTGTTTTTTAAAAGCCTATATTTAATATTATTCATTGTGTGTGTAATATTCCATTATTGCATGCCAAGGAACAGAAACGAGCAACAAAAATGAGGGGTATGGAACAGGTTCCATGTGAGGACAGATTAACAAGACTGGGACTTTTCAGCTTCGAAAAGAGACAACTAAGGGGGGTATGAGAGAGCTCTATAAACTCATGACTGGTGTGGAGAAAGTAAGTAAGGAAGTGTTATTTACTCCTCAGAACACAAGAACTAGGGGTCACCAAATGAAATTAATAGGTAGCATGTTTAAAACAAACAAAAGGAAGTATTTCTTCCCACAACACACAGTCAGCCTCTGGAACCCTTTGCCGGAGGATGTTGTGAAGGCCAAAAGTATGACAGGGTTCAAAAAATAACTAGGTAAGTTCCTGGAGGATGGGTCCGTCAATGGCTATTAGCCAGGTGTCCGTAGCCTCTGTTTGCCAGAAGCTGGAACTGAGTGACAGAGGATGAATCACTTGATTGCCTGATCTGTTCATTCCCTTTGGGGCACCTGGCATTGACCACTGTCGGAAGACAGGATACTGGGCTAGATGGACCTTTGGTCTGACCCAGTCTGGCCATTCTTATGTACTTATGGTGCATGAGAGGGGAACAGAGGGACTCAGAAGGAAAATTGGAAGTCCATAGAGCAGCAGCACCAGATAATAACTCCAGCCCTCTCCTCTCTAGACTCTGACTCCAGTGACCTTTAACCCTTCACCAACAATGGGGCTGTGCTAGTACCTGGGCAGCGCAGCGGCCTGTCCCTGAGCGATTCCGCCCCATCCCAGAATCCCTAGGCGCGCGACTCTCCCCTGTGCCAGCACTGGGCTGATTCAGGTAAGTAAGGGCTGAGGTGTGGGGTCCCTTATCTCTATGGTTACTGCATTAAATTGTGGAGACATATTGCGGGCTGGCTCCTTAGCTCCACCTTACAAAGCAGAGATCCTGGTCTGTGAACCTGAGATCTGAGGTGGGTGAATAAATCCATGATGCCCCTTAAAAAAATCCCAGCCCTGCCCCATATTTCGGGTTGGAGCTGAGTAGAGTTTATCCAGGATCTGAATAATCCCTGCTCCGCCGGCCCATCTGGATTTTGTGCAGCAACGGGGGCCATAGCCAGTGAATTATAGGGTTCAAACCTGATAGCAGGCTCTCATTCACCCTGGTGCCCGTCTCATTGTCCTGCCCCGTGGTGGATTGTTTGTGGATTTGCTGCCCCCACGCGTCGCACCGGAGAATGAGATTCTGCAGTTTGGGCTTTTGTATTAACACTAATTGATCTCCTTTCACTGTGTCTCTCGCACAATGATACCGGGCGGTGTCCTCGGGTCTCAGGCCGGCCATTAGCAAGTACAGCAGGTTGCTGGAGGTGTCTTTGGAGATGGTGAAGGGACCCCAGACTGAAGCGGGGTAATACGTGCTGCCCCCTCCGCTAATTCCCAAGACCCACTCCACCCCCTTCCCAGGAGCCTGATGGACCCAGTCCATCCAGTGGCTGCTGAAGGTGAAGCCGGAGACTTTGCAGGAGAGGCCCAGAGAGTCTCTGGGCTTTTATACATCCTCTCCAGACTCCAACAGCTGCACCTGCAAATCAAGGCACGTTAAGAATCAGGAGATTGTGGCCCAGAAGAAATCTCAGGAACCTTCGCTGTTCTGGGGGAGAAAATCACCCCTGAGCCCTGCGAGAGTGAGGAAGAGATGGAGCCAAAGTCACATTTCTCTGCCTGGGTTGGGGGGTTCTCCAGGGATTAACTCTTTCACTGCCCGGCCCCAAAAGGCTCTGGCTTCTCAGTGCAAAAGCTGCAGGGTCTGGGGAAGGGCAGGGTGTAAGTAGGGAGCTAAGTAACCCTATTTGCATATCCTGCTGTCAGTAAGCAGCAGTTAAACCCAGACTTGAAATCCCAAAATCGGAGCTCAGACATGAGAGTGACACTTCCAGGGAGTCTGGCAAAGGCTGTGTGACTGTGTCCTTAATACGCTGTCTGACACTCGATCCGAGAGTCAACATTGTGCTTAACAGAGAACTGTTGGTACCCAGATTCCATGGAAAGTGAACGGGATTTCGGCACCCAACCTCACCCGTGTTAATGCTTTAGCAACTCTCCCTGGCCTTCGCTATAGCAGAGATACCTGGTGAGCCACATTTGGTCTAGTTCAGCCCCTAGTTCTAAGCCAGGGAACGGCTCCTAACGTGACCCTGACGTTCTATGTACCTGGGCTGGGCGGAGAGGAACAAAGTTCAGCCTGTGAAATGTTGGTGACTTGTTCCTGTGGAGTTTCACCAGCAGGTTATTTATGTTGTGACTCTGGTCACCGGACAAACTGGGTTTCTCCCCCTGTTTTATGTAGTAGCCGAAGTCGACTCTAGAAATGGGAGGTGAAACTTGCCCCTGTTCTGAAAGTGTAGGAGGCGCTGAGCATCAGAACAGGCCACATCCCACCTGCTTTGCAGAGGTTAACAATGGACCACATGGGGCAGAGCAGGGCAATATCTGGATTCATCGCTAAACATCTGCATGGGACTGAGAATTTCCTCTGGGTGAACTCTGCCTTGTGCTTGGAGGTGACATGTAACTGAGGCAGCCGAGTGCACGTCTAAAGGGGGATCTCTGTAAAGATTTATGTTGTTATGAATTGGTTCTATGAGGCTGAATCTGGGCCACAGGGGCAGAGAAGGGAAGACGTTAGGGGAAATGCGGTAAAAACAGAGAAGCTGGCTCCTGCAAAGATGACAGGATCGGGCCTGTGAACTATTAAAAGGGCGCTTTGTGGTTAGGTGGGGCTCACTAGGGGCTCAGGCTCTCGGCACCGGGATGAATTTCACCCACAGAGATTTATCAATGGGCTGAGGGGAAGAGATTTACCCGGCTCAGCACGGTGCAGGCACAGAGCCAGAGTGAGGTGTTGGCTGTTTGCTCTCAGTCAATGTGCCCTTGAGCCAGTGACTCAGACTTTGTCCTCCCCGAAACAGAAGCCCTGGGCTCTGTTCCTGGCTCATGATAGTCGGGCTCTAGGATCTACAACAGGCAGCGGTAAAAAGACTCCGTGTTTATTCCCCAGCCATGGGACGGAAGAATAATCTAGTTGCTATAGCCTGAGTCTAGGTATGAATATTCCTGGGGTCTTTCCTTTCACCTCTGAGCAGAATGATAGACAAATCGGTGCAGGGCCCTGGGAGTCAGGACTCCTGGGTTCCATTCCCAGTCTTGGTGTCTCTGATTCACTGGGTGACTTGGGATGATACAGGGGTTAATTCAGAGGGGCTTGTAACTTGCTGTGGAAGCCAATAACTAAGGAAGCAGAGAGACCGCGGTGCTGGCAGCTGCTGCTCTCAGAGGCTCACACAGGAAGGCTGGTTCTCTGCACGGTTAGTTTTAGTGCTGGCTCTGATAGGTTTCCTCTCACTGGGTGTGTCTCTGGCACAGTAATACAGGGAGGTGTCTGCGGGTTGCAGGCCGGTCAGTTGCAGGAACACTTGGCTTTTGGAGGTGTCTCTGGTGATGGTGAGGCGACTTTTGAGAGCATCGTTATAGTTATTGTTTCCACCACTCCAGATAACTCCCATCCATTCCAGCCCTTTCCCCACTGACTGGCGGACCCAGTGCACCCCATAGCTAGTGATAGAAAATCCGGACACGGTGCACGTCAGTCTGAGGGTCTCCCCGGGCTTCTTGATTCCCCCACCGGACTCCACCAGGCTGACCTGGGAATAGACACCTGCAGAGGGGGAAATAAAGGGGAAATATTGCAGTGATTCCCAGGGCGCAGTTATTAGGGAACACGCAGTACCGGGCGCCCAGCAGCAGCGCAGATCCCACTCGTACCCGCTGGGAGCAGCAGGAGGAAGGCGATGGCCAGGCTGGGGGTCATGTCTGCGGCTTGCGGCTCGTTCCCCAGGCGGGATGGGAAGCTGAAGCCCGGCACTGGCTCTGAGCTGGGTGAGCGACCGGGACTGGGTTATGAACAGGGCCCCGGGGAGCTCATTTGCATGGGCCCAGGAGTATGTAACGGGGGACTTAGGAGGTGTGTGACGCAGCGTTGCATTGTTAAGTCTCACGGCAGGTGGATTCCAGAGTCCAGCTGTAACACGGAATGTTCCCTTCTGCTATTTCTTCTGCCCGCCGGAGATTTGCAACTATGAAATCACTGAACCACTTTCTGCTCCATGCGCTATCCATGCTTCACATGATTGAGTTTGCAGGTGATCATCTTATGGACTTGGGTCAAGCGGATCTGGAGGAGAATAAATTTGTGTTGGCTTCTCTCTGTCGGTTTCATGAACCTTCACAGTAAATATCAGAGAATGCTGATCAAAGGATAAATAGAGGGTTTTGAGAGAAGTGAAGGAAGATATACATATATAGCAAAATATTGTGAATACTTGGTGAGCAAGTTATTTCAAACTATGTGAATATGTGATTTATAGGCTATTAAAGCCTATGATATTAATTATATTTGCTTGAATATAGGCTAGTTGGTCTCAATTTCTCAATGCCTGCCTAGTGATTACCAGTCTTTTTTTCTGGTAAATTCTTTCTTTCTCTTTTGCGCCTATACCTTGTTGTAACTATGTGTGTCCAAGATGTTTACGCGATATTAATTAGAGGTCCTGGGGGAGACAGAGGATAGAGAAACGAATGAGAAGAAAGATATCTGCCTAGAACAAAGATTAGGATTTTCTGCTTGGTGGGCATGGGGCACGCAATATAATATTTTATTATATGTAGTATGCTATCTAAAAATTCTTATACAGACTTATACATCACACATCATATACATAAAAATTGTATTTTTATAGTATGGCAAAAGAAAAATCCCAACAATTCATTGTTTCATAGCAAAAATTAAATGAGAATAAACATTTGAAAATATATTTTATATATAGTCTGGATAAACTTTGTATTTCCCTAAGAAAATTAAAAAAACTTTTTTTCATTTATTCATATGAAAATAAGGATAATTTTCCTTATTCATGGTTTAAAATATATATATATATATATATATCCTCTCTTGCTTTCCTGTGAGAACATAGACAAAATAGCATGAACTTTCACAGAAATATTCTGGTAAAATAACAGAAGTTTTCTGTATATATATACATTATAAATTATAAAATATGTACAAATTATAAAATATTATTTGTTGTTGTATAGATATATACATTTCAACATTTATAATATAAAGCTTAACTTTTTATTGGTTTCAATAAAATCTTTCTGCTATTAATTTTAGTATTAATATTAGGTAATTCAGCATAACCTTTCTATACAAACAAAACAAATGAATTTATTGGAAAAATACAACCCACATAAAATTTTCTGATGGTTTGCTTATTACCTGGGTGTAATACATATCAATATAACTAACAGTTGAGCTTTAAGCTTATGGGTTATCCACATCCTATATCCCAGGGGTCGACAACCTTTGGCACGCGGCTCGCCAGGGTAAGCACCCTGGCTGGCCGGGCTGGTTTGTTTACCTGCCCCGTTGGCAGGTTTGGGCAATCACGGCTGCCAGTGGCCACAGCTCCAGGCCAATGGGGGCGGCGGGAAGCGGTGCGGGCTGAGGGATGTGCTGGCTGATGCTTCCCGCCTCCCCCATTGGCCAGGAGCAGCGAACCGCGGCCAGTGGGAGCCGCGATCGGCCGAACCTGCAGATGCGGCAGGTAAACAAACCTGCCCGACCCGCCAGGGTGCTTACCCTGGCGAGCTGCGTGCCAAAGGTTGCCGATCCCTGATCTAGTCTAACCTTCTGCATACTGCAGGCCACAAAACCTCGCCCACCCACTCCTGCAATAGACACCTCACCTCTGGCTGAGTTACTGAAGTCCTCAAATCATGGTTTAAAGATTTCAAGTTACAGAGACTCCACCATTTACACTAGTTTAAATCTGCAAGTGACCCATGCCCCATGCTGCAGAGCAAGGCAAAAAAAACAAAAACGACCAAACAAACAAACAAACAAACAGTCTGTGCCAATCTGACCAGGGGGAAATTCCTTCTCGACCCCAAATATGGTGACCAGTTAAGCCTTGAGCATGTGGGCAAGACCCACCAGTCAGACAGCTGGGAAAGAATTCTCTGTAGTAACTCCGAGCCCTCCCCAGCTAGTGTCCCATCACCAGCTGTTGGAGGTATTTGCTTCTAGCAGTCGCAGATTGAATACACGGCATTACAAGCAAACTCACCATCTTATCCCCTCCACAAAGTTATCAAGCTCAGTCTTGAAGCCAGTCAGGAATTTTGCCCCCACTGCTCCCCTTGGAAGGCTGTTGCAGAACTTCACTCCTCTGATGGTTAGAAACCTTCCCCAAATTTAAAGCTTAAACTTGGCAATGGCCAGTGTAAATCCATGTGTTCTTGCTGGTAACATGTAACATTGTTGTCGTGTAACATGTAACATGTGAGTTAAACTGGTCTCCCTGGGCTGTTCAGAATCCGCTTCCCCGGCTTTGCTCCGTGTTACTGTGTGTCTCTGGTGCAGAACTAGTTGGCAGTGTGCGCAGCTGTCAGCGAGCGGAGCTACCGGGAGACCTGGTTCTTGGAAGGGTTCACCTAGATGATGGTGCGACTCTGGAGGGAAGTGGCATAGTTTGTGCTTCCCCTTTGCTCTATATCCCTGATCCATTCCAGCCCTTTCCCGGGACTCTGCCGGATCCAGTGCCACCAGCAACAACTACTGCCCAGGGTGTCCGAGGAGGCACCTGAGATGGAGCAGGTGAGGCTGAGAGTCTCTGAGGGTTTTACAGTCCCGGGCCCTGATTCCACCAGCTGCACTTGTGACAGGACCCCTGTGGAAAAGACAGAGCCGTGTGAATTCATCCCACAACCCATTCATCCCCTGGTGCTAGGCAGATCGGTCTCACCCAATACTCACACGAGGGGCGGCCAGCAGGAGAAGGGATACAAGTAGTGGTTTCATGATTGCACTATCAGAGAATAGAATATCTGAGAATAGAGAATGATGCTGAAAACTATTTATCGAGGCAAGCATCTTCACTGCAAGGGTTTGTCTCAAACTCATTTTTCTCCTCTTTCAAGGGAATAGTTTCCCACAGAATTTCACACAACTTACTCGTGCCATTGCCACAAGAGATCACGAGGCCTGAGTGATACTTTATCTTTAGGTCGTGTTACACCAAAGGTGAATAAGAGGAGAAATGACCCATTTTCTATCTCATTCATAAAACTGTAGAGTAAATCAATTGTAACTCTGTTGCAGTCAAGGTGGAGGAGTCTCCATTTTCCATTCACTCTCTTTTCCTTTTCCTTTTCACGTTATAACGCATGCAATGAAAAATCAAACGCACACAGAGGAGTTTATAAATACTGCAGGTCACCAAGATATTTTGAATCACTATGTTTATCCCATGGATTTGTCACTTTCTATGCTACAGGAATTTGACATCTGTCTCATCAGGAGGAAGGGACACACCTTGCTTGTTTGCTACTGTGTTTTGAAAGCAGTTATAGTCCTTATTTTCCCCCCACAGGAGAATGTTCTCCTATGGAGATGCCCACGTCCCTAGGGGAACTCAGTCTGAATGGCGCCGTCGCTAATTGATATTAAGAGTCAGTTAAAATCTTCCCCTTCCATTGTAGCTTGAAAAGACACCCCCTGGGTAAAGGCGATGCAGAATCACGCCTGGAGTCTCCCCGATGTACTCAACACCTCGCAGCGCTATTGAAAAACCCGCTTCCCGTTTCTGTACATCTGCCTGCTTGTGTGTCCCTGAGCGTTGCCTCTGGTGCAGGAATAGGTGGCGGGGTCTGCAGCTGTCAGCGAGCGGCGCTGCAGGGAGACCTGGTTCTTGGCGGTGTCCTGTGCGATGCTCATTTGACTCTGCAGGGAGCTGCCATAATCTATGTACCAGCTGCTAGACCGATAGTAGATGCACCCCATAAACTCCAGCCCTTTCCCCACAGGCCGCCGGACCCAGTCCCAGGTGGCGCTCGTGCTAGAAAGCAAGTCTCCAGAGATGGTGCAAGTAAGTTTCAGGGACTGTCCTGGCTTCACCGCTCCCACCTCCGCCTCCTGCAGCTGCACCTGGCAGAGGACGCCGGGAAAGGGAAACCATAAATGAGTCTTATCCCCTGGGGGAGGAGCAGGTGTGAGAATAAAACACGCTGAGCCTGAGCCAAAGGGAGTTAGGATCCCAGCACCCACTGACTTCTCTGGGATCCGGGTGCTTCTTTCCTTTATCTCCCCCCACCCCCCTTGACAATCTGGGCCTCTGGAATTAATCCAGCAGCAAATCTCCCCACAGACACTCACAGGCAGGGGGGCCCAGCATGGGTAGGAAGATAAGGAGCAAGTTCATAATAGGTGAAGGTGGAAAATGTCCCCAGCAGACAGGACCGGGCAGTTTTGTGTCTGGGGAGAGACCGAGGCTCCTAGAATCAGGGGGGTTGTATTTAAATTGCCGGAAGCAGGAGTTTGCATGCAGGTTTCACAGCGTGGGTATAAAAGATGACAGAGTGTGAATTCTGCATACACATGGGGATCTCTGGCTGCGCTTCAGACCTGAATTGATTTCTGCAAGAGGGCTGAGAAATCTGAAATGGTCTAAGGGATTTATTTGGGTGCCCAAATTCCATTCAAACTCAAGGGGTTTGGGCACCTGTCATAAACATACAGCTAAGGGTAGCATAAAATCCCTCCTTTACCTGTAAAGGGTTAATCAATTCAATTATTCTAGTTGACACCTGACCAGAAGGACCAATGGGGAAAGAAGATACTTTCAAATGGGGGGGAGGCTTTGTTTTGTGCTCTGTGGGTGCTCTCTCTGAGACAATGAGAGAGACCAAGCAAGTAATCCAGCTCCTACTGACATGATACATCTAATATTACAGAAATAGTAAGTAATAGCAAGGAAATGCGTTAGAATAGCTTTTATTTTAGCTTGTGAATTTTCCCTGTTCCTAGACGGAGGTTTACCCCTGTGTTTTTGTAACTTTAAAGTTTTGCACAGAGCGAAATCCTCTGTGTTTTAAATCTTATTACCCTGTAAAGTTACCT